ATACCACAAAAAAATATTCCATGTTTTAGTTTTCAGCTAGTGAACTTTAGTGAAGTTGACTTAGCTATTACAGAAATAAAAAATAGTAACAGCAAATATCCTGATGGGTTTAACACAAAAATTATTAAAACAATTAAAGATATAATTGTTCAACCTCTAATAACTTTAATAAATCAGTTAATATTTTGTAATACTTCTCCTCAAGTTTTTAAAACTGCAAAGGTAGTACCTCTGTTTAAGAGAAAAGGCTCTATTGATGATTATAACAATTATCGACCCATTTCTTTGTTGCCCATCTTATCAAAAGTTTATGAACGAATTTAAACAAATCAAATTAATCTACATTTTAAATCTAATAAACTGTTTGCCATAAACCAGTACGGATTCCGAAAAAATAAAACAACAACTTTAGATATTGATAATTTCACTAGCAGTGTTTTGGAAGGGTTTGAGAAATATCTTGATACTCTTGCATCGTTTTTAGATCTTACTAAGGCTTTCGATTGTGTCACACATAGTATCCTGCTGATAAAACTTCCTTATTATAATTTTCACAGTAATGCTATTCAACTAATTGATTCATATCTATTAAATCGTGATGAATATGTTCACTTCAACCAGTGTGATTCTCAAAAACAATCTTTGTTGTTTGGTGTCCCTCAAGGCTCGGTTTTGGGTCCAGCATTATTTCTTATCTATATTAATGATCTAGTGTACTCTCAAAATTAAACAGTCAACACTGTTTTATTTGCTGATGACACTACTTTCTATGCAAGCTATTATCCTTCTGAATTCGACACCCTTGATTACCAAACATCTGAAAAAACTTATTCAATTGGTTTTTAACTAACCGTCTCTCTTTGAACAACTTTAAATCACAAAGTGTTAATTTTACTCTAAGAAATAACACTTGTGTCGAAAACGTTGCTTTACCACAATGTGTAACCGGAGCGCAATTTCTGGGGATATATTTGGATGCAGGATTAACCTGGGAACAACATATAGTTAATCTATCGAAAAAGCTTTCCCGAAAACTTTTTCTCTTCAGGCACCTTGTACAAGTGACTTCCAGGGAAACTATTTTACCAGCTTATCATAGTAATTTTCATTCTCATCTGACATATGCTATTCTTCCCTGGGGTCACTCTTGTCATATCGATAATGTGTTTGCACACCAAAGAAAGTGTGTTTGTATTATCTCTGGGCTCTCTTATAGAGCAGACTGTAGAAACTCCTTTATAGTTTTAAAAATTTTAACTTTACCTTGTGTCTACATTATGCAGTGTCTGTTGCACATTAAATAAAACCTTAGCCAATGCAATGCGCATGTAGATTTTCACAATTATCCCACCAGATTTAACAATAATCTTATACCAGAATTTAGCCGTCTTGAGAGATCCAGAAATGGTTCAAGGTATTTAGCCATAAAATTCTACAACTTAGTGCCAGCTAGAATAAAGGCTCTTAATTTTCATCAGTTTAAGGCAAAAATTAAAAGTTACCTTATAGTGAATGCTTTTTTTACATATGAGGAGTATTTTTCTTCCAAATTTAATTTGTTGTAATTGTTAACAGAATAATTTGAAACAATGTATCTATGTTTTGTGTTTATATTTATGTGTGCATATTAACTATATTGTCATTTACTTTATTTTATTTGACTTGTAAAAAATACTTATGTATTAATTTATTACCAATAAACCATCTATCTATAATAATAATAAAGCCGACGAATATAGACGAGAGTTTAAAACAAGTTTTGGTGAATTGGTTTCTTGTACTCACAAAGAGTAAACACAAATAAAAGAAAATACAGTTAAGATTTGATTTCACTTATAGTGCCTCAGTATATTCGTTTATACGTATTTCATCCTACTAGGATTCATTAAAGCGATTGGTACAGAAGCTCTAAAAGTAAAATAAAATCTTTTCCATCAAAAGAAGCAATAATAAAATGGTTTCAATATGGACACTATAGTGACATATGAGAATAAAACAACAAAGAGGAAATGCGAAGATTGCTTGGTTGATGAAACCAAACTTCCGATTTTTGCTTTAATCTGTACCTTTTACAATTTACAAGGCACAATAGACGATAAACAGGGTGTAAAAAGAGACACGGGGAATCTAAAAAAAGTAAGAGTCTAAGATAAATTAGTTTGTGATATAATTTATTAACAGTTTTACTATTAAACTTCTTAACATTCCTAATCTAATTAAAAAAAAATACTTAACCGTGAATCACGGAAAAACCCATAAAATAGAAAAATGTTCTATGTATTTGTATTTGTTTACCCAGATGCAGACAATGTAAGTAAATACAGATTTAAATATCCTTTATTTAAAACATATTTTACTTTGACAGACAAATGTTTCTTTAGTAGATCTCGAAAGTACAACACAATACTATTGGAAATAAGGTCTTTGGGATTAACAAAATAGGATGAGGTTGAGATATTTATTGCGAAACCTATTTCAAGGTTATTAAAAGATAGGGACTAACTACGACCGTCAATTTATATTAATAAAGTATTCAACTGTGAATATGAATTCAGAGGTTTAGTCGGTCATTCAGGTTGGCAAAATAAAAAAGAAGTCAACTACTTCATACGTTTATAGAAGACTTAAATGTGTTGCTTGTGTGAGTCCATATCAAATAGGTAAAGAAATAATAATAAGACTTACTCACAATCAATTTAATTTAACAATCAGACGACCGGTTTCGCTTTCTACAATTTGCAAAGCATCTTCAGGTCTAGATACAAAGTTAAACTAATGATGCCGGTACTCTATTAATTGATGGATGGTAGGTCATGGTTGCAAAAATCATGTATTGTTGATTGGAGAACTTTAATGTGCTATTGCAGTTGTTTTGACAATAAACGGGAAGTTCTTGGGAGAACAGATTTGATCCAATGAATTAGAGATAGGTATATTGTGGTTTATTGTCAAATAAAAGTGATATTCTTTACTATTGTATTATTTAAATTATTTACACTTATATCAGAGATATATTTTTTTTATTACGTCCAACACTGAGATGTAGTGCTTGCAGTTTCTTCCATTCCCCAAGTTTAAGTTTTAAATTCAATGTTTGTCCCGTCATTTAGTGTTTCTGTTCCTGTTAATGTGTGTTTAATTTGTCCCTGATTGTTTTGATTTGTAATAATTTTATATACTTTTTATATACTTGACTTTACAATAATTGATTAATTTTGCCAATAGACTTGATAATTACAAGTCAAAATAATTGCACAACCACACAATCGGTACAGCTACTCTTATTCATTGTCATAAAACTGTCTCCTTTATAACATAAATACTCAATAAATAACACACATTCCAAAAATATATCTCTGATATAAGTGTAAATAATTTAAATAATACAATAGTAAAGAATATCACTTTCATTTGACAATAAACCACAATATACCTATCTCTAATTCATTGGATCAAATCTGTTCTCCCAAGAACTTCCCGTTTATTGTCAAAACAACTGCAATAGCACATTAAAGTTCTCCAATCAACAATACATGATTTTTGCAACCATGACCTACCATCCATCAATTAATAGAGTACCGGCATCATTAGTTTAACTTTGTATCTAGACCTGAAGATGCTTTGCAAATTGTAGAAAGCGAAACCGGTCGTCTGATTGTTAAATTAAATTGATTGTGAGTAAGTCTTATTATTATTTCTTTACCTATTTTATAGAAGACGTTTCGCTTTATATTTCTAAAGCTTCATCAGTTCTCTAAAATACAAAGATGACATAGAGTTTATAAGAAATACAGAACTAATAATTTATAACTTACAACTCAATATGTAGTATATTAAAGATGTTGTTATATATGTACGTTTACTCATTATTTAGAACTAACTTAAAAAAAAAACACAAACAAAGAACACAAAAACTTTGCAAAAAATAATATTCATTCGTAGATACGAACATTTAAAAATTTTTTTAAAACGAACATTTGACTTCATTTAAAGATAATTCTCCAATGAAGACAAACAAAACACTGATTTATTGCAATCCGTTGCAATCTATGCAAACGACGTGACGCGATACCGAAAATTTTTAAGGGCCATATGTTCAACAAATTCCAAGGTTTGAGACAATTATGAACTTTTACGGGGGTCACTTAAGATTATTTGGACGGGTGGTTTTGTATGACGGAAAAATTTGATATATTTTTTTTGTAATTTATGTTTTAATAAAACTTAGGGATATGGGATGATTATGTTATTATTTGATGGAAAATAAGGCAATTTTAAATACTGAATAATTGGTATTATTTATTTCGTACGATGAGAGAGTGGTAAACCTGGCTCAAATTGTCGATGTCGGTTCTTTTGTTTATTGCAGATGGGTTTTTGAGGATCTCACATTTTTCAATAAAGGACCGTTTATGATGGATATTTTGTTTCGCCAGTATTTTAGTATTTGAAATACTATCAATATCAATATCAAGAATATCTATAAGAATAATAATAAAAACAAAGATTAATTAGTAAGTAATTCTTTGCTTACATAACCTATAATGTTCTGCTTCTTCTTAAACCCCCTCGCAGGTGGGAAATATACCAAATAAAAAATTTAGCTAAGGTAATTTTAAATAAAAATGTTCTGTTTCTAATAAAGAAGCGTGAGATAAACTATTTACTTGTTTCTATTTAAGACGCTAAAGCAGGGAATTTGACTAGCGTGCTTCTATTTTAGAAGACAAAAGCAAATTGTTTTAGGGTAATAAGGTTTGAATAGTTTCAATGTTAAAAACTGTCAGGTGCTGGAGATACGGAACAGCAGAAAGAAGGCATGTTGATTATAGGCTTTTAATTTAGGTACACAAGAAATTTGCATATTTTAACAATTATTGTTTATTTATTATAAAAAGTATTGTATAAAAGACAATTTTGTATAGTAAGAATTATTATTTTATTAAACAAAAATTTATTTTTTTTTGGAAAATTTTTCTCTTTAATTTATATTTTTTTAGGTAGAAATTGAAGGATTAACTGGAGAAATTCGTTTCAGTGAAGAAGGTCGACGGCAAAATTACACACTTCATGTTGTAGAGATGACAGTTAATAGTGCAATGGTAAAAGTAGCTGAATGGAGTGATCAAACTGGATTTAACCCAGTTGCTGCAAAATATGTTAGACTGAAGGCAAACGCCCATATAGAGAGAAATAAAACTTATATAGTTACAACAATATTGGTGAGTTTGTTTGTATTTTGTTTTATCCAGTATCTTCTAATGCATATTAAATTAGAAGAAACTAATAAATTTACATTAGTTTTTGTCCATATAGAAACACACAAGATTTTTGGAAACAAAAATAATGATCTATTTTAATGGTAATAAGCTAAAATTAAAGATTAAAACAAGTTCATTGACGGTTTAATTTTCACTTTGAAAATTAATTAAAATAAAAATTACTTTAAAATGACACAAGAAAATAGCTTTAGAACAATAAAAATAAAAATTTTGCTAACTCGTTAATCGTTTAAATAAAACTTGCAGCAAAAAACTGCTACATTTAAAAAAGTATATTGTTACGAAAGACAAATAAATTTAAGATTCTATGAGATTTAATTGCGAAATATGAATTATAAACTAAGTAAACTTTATTTTATTTGGCAAAAAGGCATTTGAGAACAACACACTGAAGGAATATCCAGGTTTCATAACATTTTTATGTAGGATTCTAAGATAAGTATATTCTAACTTCAAAAGAACTCAGGTGAATAACCTCAAAATGGTGAAAAAATGGTGAAAGATCTTTTCGCTGATCCCACAGAAAAAAAAACCTGATAGCACTAAACATATAGCAGAACACTGGACTTAAAGCCATACCTTATGGTTGGAAGGAAAACTGACGTATGGCAAAAGAAATATTAGAGCAGGATAAAATCAAATGGGTAATAAACTTGTTTAAGTCAGATAAATTATCAGGTCTGCACGAGATATATTTACGTTGTAGAAACACGACCTTACACAGAAAAAATATTTTTTTTTTATTTATTAACACCTGCGCGGTGTTTGTATACTGCTATCTGGTCACAAATGACCAATTATCAGTTATTTTCTGACCTAACATAATAACAGCAAATACTTAAATCTAAGGGCTTACCCTATGGTGTACTCTTATTTGATCTATTAACTAATGCACTACAACTAGCATGCAATAACTTCACAGTACTATACTCTGCTTTTTACACTAAACTGTTACACATTTACACTAGCTCAAATGGTTTTGTCCTTATGAGTCTTCTTATGAGTCTAATTCCTCATGATGCAACATGTTATTTTTAATTATAATAGCGCTTCCTCCTTTAGCTGCATTATCTGGGTGTACAGAGAGGGGGTATAGAGTAGAATATACTCTATACCCCCTAAATTTAACATATGACTGTTTAGTGAAGTGTGTTTCAGAAACGAGACACAGACCAATTTTCTCAATATCTAGTACTGCTTGCAACTCGATCTGATGTTGTAACAGTCCATTTGCGTTCCACGCCATTATTCGGAGGTCTTTAGTAGCCATTTCTGATTTTCGGAATGGCTCCTTTAGCGCTATGCTCTAGTCGGGTAACTCTGATATCGATTTGAGTTATTTTGTCATCAATCTTGGTGAGCTTTTCCAATATCATTTTTATTGTAATATCAGTTTCTTTTTCTTGTTGCGATGATGCATGTCTCCTTGCATTCTTTGTTACATCGCTGTAACTTCTATTTTCACTGACCTCTGCCGTTTTTAGTTTTTTGCTTTCAATAACTCTATGGGGTGCTTTTATAACATTGTTTTTGTTTGTTCTCTCGTTTCTTATTGTTTGTAATTTTTCAGCTACATAACATCTGCGGTAGTTTGCAGGATGGTTTTCTCCACAATGAACACATTTTGGTTTATCTTCTGGTGGTTTTTGGCAATCTTTAGTAAGGTGTTTACCAATACATTTTACACATCTTGGCTCTTTTTTACAGTATTTCCACGTGTGTCCGTAAGCCTGGCATCTTTTAGATTGTGGGACTAATCTGAAACTCCTTAATGGCTCGATTTCAACTCTCGTACTAAGTATGTCTGTTATGCCGTAAATTCTATTTATATCTTCATCTTGTCTAAATGTTAGGATGAACATATCTAGTGGTTTTTCAGTTTTCCATTTGAATTTCTTGTCAGCTTTAATGGCTTTATATTGTCGTTTTTGTAGGTCTTTTACTATTTCCTCTGGTGGCCATGTGTGATGTAATTTCTTAACAACAACTCTAATTGGTCTCTCTTGCTTATTTTCATAAGTGTGGTACGAAAGGTTACTCGTATTTAATGTGTCTATTAAAGCTCTGTAATGATCGCTATTGGCTGTATTAATTTTTATAACTTCACTGTTTATGATTTTCATAGTAAAGGTAATACCAGCCTCAGCTAGAAGCTTGCTCAGGCCAACAGCACTTTGAAAACCTTCTACTAAAACCGGAGGTGGTGGTTTTGGTTTTTTGAATGGTTTTTCTATTTGTGTTTCTGCACTTGATTTTTGCGGAGAGTGAGGAGATAATGAGGTATCCATTTTACGTTTTTTGTTAGTTTTCCTGTTTTCGGTTCTTATCCAGCCCGTTTCATACGCTAAATCTTCTTCATCGGTGCAGTATTCAAGTTTATCTGTTTTTAATTTCTTTTGTGATTCATCAGCACTTGCGGTTAACCCTGTATGTTGTTCGGCTTTTTCCAGCTGTGCTAATCTCTTTTCCATATCGGCGATTATTTGACTCAATCGTTGATTATCCATATTAAGTCTCTTAACATTTTCTTCCGACTGACACCATGCATTATAAAGAGATTGCTCTTTTTTGTGAACGTTGCGTATTTTCTGCGAACATCGCATTATTTTGTTGGACTAGTAGTACGTCCATTTCGGTATGAATAGGAAACATTATAAATATTTAAATATTTCGCTTACCTAAGTTAACTTGAATTTATCGCGATAGCTTACAGCCATGGTCATTGATATCACTCACGACTAATGATATCTTAATTACTACTTAATTACCAAAAAAAATGATGTTAGAAATAGCAGAGATGAAAACACTAAAAAAATTGATAACAAGACACCATGGGACAGATGTGGAAGTACATATATACGACGTACATGCAATGTGGAGAACATCAAGAGCTGGGTAAGAAATAAGAATTAGCTGGGTAAAAGTAGAATGGAACAATCATATCAGCCAAATAAAAACAAATATATTAGTAGTAAAAACGGCAAGAGGTGGTTCCCAAATACGAAAACGATCAGTAGAAAGACCACAAAAACGATGGAACGATAACTTACTGGATGGAAGAAGAAGAAAAAATAAAATTCAGCAGACCTTGGTGTAGATACAGAATGTACTTTAAGTGCAGGTCTTGATATTAGCACCCAGAAGTTTCAAATCAGAAAATTTACCAAGGAATATTGAGAGGTATTAGGTCCTCTAAACAAGAATGGTAAAAATAAAATTCTGGTTAGTAAATTTAAGTACATTGGGGTTATATTTAAAGTAGTGGTTTTATTCAAATTAACAGATGTATCCTGTAACCAAGAAAGCGGTGACTACCTAAATGAAAGCCAAACAAACGCATGGAAAAATATTGGGATAAAAACGAAACATATGCAGTTTAATACTAATATATGCCTTACTGGTATGGTCGCCAAAAGACGGAGCACAAAAGGGCTACCCTCACATTACCTGAAATTAAGCAAGCTGTAAAAATTTACTTGCCTTGGAATTACAGAGTTTATAATTGGCATCCATAACAGCAGCTATGGATACAATGTTGAACCTCTATTCTCCAAATTTCGTTATTAGAAGAAAGGACAAGAATGGGATAATATAAAACATTATAAATAAAATTAGAAATACTGTAGCGATAATAACTTCTGATCATACGGTATCCCCGAACTGGCTAGTTTCCCCAACCAGTTCGGGTTTACAAATGTTGTTGGTACTAGAGAGGCTTTGTTCTCAGTACAAATCTTATTCAAGAGATGCAGAGACATCAACTGCGACGTATACGCATGTCTAACGAACAAAGTAAAGGCTTTCAAACTCAGAGGATCATTATATGCCACAAATTTTCAAGTAGCTATGGAAGCTCTCAATAGTCCTAAAGTAAACTTCGGTCCAGTGTAGGAATGTTCAGAAAAACTTTATAGACAGACGTAACCTAACAGTATCATACAGATTAGCTACAACTCACATAAAAATTTCAAGTTTTTAGAAGATTATTAGAACATTATTTTTTATAAAAGATATATGTTGAGAAATTGCATAATTACCACTGAAAAAGTCAAGAGTACATGCTAAGTATAGTTTACATTATATTTCTTAAACCTTCTATTTCTTGACTTAAAATGTACTACCGCATATATTTTCACTATACAGCAAGAACATACTTTTTGGAATATTTCAAGAAACTACTATATTTTCAGTATATGATAAAAATACTTTTAGGAATATTTTAGGGAATTGCTATATTGCTCAGAAGTACGTTGTTAGCACATACTAGGTTTCAATCTCATACTAGGTTCTACTCTCTTAAGTATTATCTTTACTTGTTTTAATTACACGTGAAAATATAGCTAGTACATTCTGGTAGATTTTAAACGGACAATGTTACTAAAACTACGTATGTAGTACTACAATTAGCGCAAGTTCTTTATGGAAATAGCCCCGATTACTGTCTATACACTGGTCCACGACACACTACAAACACAGGCACTGATACAGATTAAATATTACTACTAATTATCACTTCAACTAAGGACGTTTTCTTATATACGAATAAACTTAATAAATAATGAGCGTTCAACTTTTAACTCTAAGCTATATAACGATAACTAAAATACGAGAGATAAAACTCTAAAAACAAAAAGCGACCAGCTCAGCTGGGATACAATTTGTTACTGATAAAATACTTAACATTTTGGTTGCAATGTTAACTATTTTAAGGGATTCGCAGGGACGAAGGAAAACGTATAGCCTGCCTACAGAGGTAGGTAAAAACCGACCTTTTGAATTCTTGTCTAATAGAGAAATTTTTGGAATTGGTCGGAGAAAGTTAATCTATGGGTAAACATATTTTTTAAATACATTTTTGACTTTCATGAGAATTTACCTAGATAGAAGTTAAGAATTGTACGTTAATTGCTATCAGTAGCGTAGCAACATTTGTATACATTTCTTACAGAAATTTATCCATATTTTAAAAATGTATGGTACTTCCATTTTTCTAAGAGACTCGTGAATATTTAGCTCAACTGGGTTCTATTGTTTAAGGTAGTAAAATTCTATAAACAAGTGTTTAAATAAACCCAAGTTTAAAGAGTCCGTGTACAGATTTAAGTAGGTAATACTTTAAATGCTCTTTTTCTTCTTCAGATGCAAATCCACTAATGGATGTTAGCGATCTCATTTTCCATTAATTCTCTATTTCTTGCAATATGTATCAGAGATTGTATGTCGTTAATCCCTGTCCATTGCCTTATGTTTCAGAGCCAGGACATTTTCTTGCGTCCCATTCCTCTCCTGCCTTCAATTTTACCCTCGATTATAAGTTGGAGGAACTGGTATTTTTCATTTCGCATGATGTGACCTAGATACGCCGTTTTCCTTTTCTTGATGGTTTCGAAAAGTTGGCGTTCTTGGTTTATTCTTTTAAGGACATCTATATTTGTGATTTTCGCTGTCCATGGTATTTTTAGGATACGGCAATAAAGCCACATTTCGAAAGCTTCTAATCTGTTTATATCCCTCGTTTTCAGTCTCCAGCCTTCTACGCCATATAGCAGCACTGACCATGCGTAGCACTTAGTAAACCTTAGTCTCAGTTGAAGATCGAACTCTGAACAAGTCAGTACCTTCTTGAATTTTACGAAAGCTTGTCGAGCTTGCTCAATGCGACATTTTACTTCCCTGTCCGATGCACAGTCTTCAAAAAGCCACAATCCCAGGTATTTAAATTTACTCACTCTTTCTATGGATTTACTATTCAGTGTTATGGTGGAGTTTTCAAGCGCATCCAAGTTTCTGGAGATGATCATGAATTTAGTCTTTTTGGTATTAATCTCTAATCCCATTCGCTCACTGTATTCTCCGATTATAGTGACAAGTTTTTGAAGATCGACTATGTTGTCACAAATTAAGACACCATCATCAGCATATCGTATGTTGTTGATCAATACACCATTCACCTTGATTCCCATCTCTGTATCCTCCAAAGACTCTTGAAATATGGCTTTCGTTTAAATGCTCGCTGGATTCTTAATTTATATTATTTTCAAATAACACTGATTTTATATTGATAGTTAAAATCAATCTTTTGTATTTAAATGGTTTATTATAAGAGTATGTATGGTATTCCCGGCCAACGTGTTCTTTATTCATAGCATGAATTTAAAATAACTTTCTAACATTTCTTTCACTGTTGTAGGTACTGCCCATCTTCTCATATTTTTAAAAGTATTCAATTTAGTTTCCTAATCTCTGAAGTGTTCACCGACAAC